AAGTTGCAGTGCCTCAAAACCAAGTGCACCAACAAGGTTTCTTCTGGCAAGTATAGAATCCATAGATGTTGGACTTCTTCCACAGTTGTTGTTGACATGCACTCATTTGTAGAACTGTGCCCTGAAATTATTGGAGGCTGAGATTTAATAATTTCACATACTGATACATGATTATAAACGAAATGTTAATGAGAAAAAACAAGATAAAGAAGTGAAGAAAGCATGCATGAATGGCTAAAAGGAAGATACCATAATTAGATAAAATTAATCTTCACTGAATATTCGAGCTTTTGGATTATAGCTTTAATTCCAGAAGAATATGCATTTTTTATGCAGCCTCATTTTCTATAAAGTGTGGAGGCACTGACCAAACATCTGCATCGGGCATTGAGTTTGATGCTGATTCTGAAACACTTGGAGCTGCCTCCTTGTATGCAAGTCCTGATGGTCAATGGGCAGTAAGCAACACTGGAAGTTTCATCTCAAATCCAAATGGAAACCAATATATTGCAATGACAGATTCTCAGATCTCTGAAACTCTAGATTCTGAGTTGTATAAGACAGCTAGGATTTCACCAGGTTCCCTGAGGTATTATGGCCTTGGGTTGAAGAATGGGAAATACAGTGTTGAGCTTCACTTTGCAGAGATTGAAATGGATGACAGTCAGTCTTGGAAAGGCCTAGGAAGGCGCTTATTTGATGTTTATGTACAGGTAAAGTGAAGGTTACTGCACATTATGCATCTTTCATCTCCAATTCTCCATTGCATTTCCTAGGCATCAGCTTCAGACAACAAGCAATTTATTTTGTAATGATTTGGACAAGGGTGAGAGAGTTCTTGAAGATTTCAACATCGGAAAAGAGGCTGGAGGATCCAAAAGAGCCTTGATTAAAACATTTGAGGCAAACGTTACGAACACAATCATGGACATTCATTTCTTATGGGCTGGGAAAGGCACCTGCTGCATTCCATATCAAAGTACATATGGCCCCTTAGTATCAGCAATCCATGTATCTCAAGGTCTTTCTCTTCATATCTTCCCTTCGCTCTCCATATCTTTCTTCTATGATCTAATGAACTAACAGCATCTTCTCTCTACCTTCCATTACAGTCTCTGACAGCACCGTCTCTTCCAGCAAGAAACACAGACAAGTTGGAAAAATTGTTGGAATTACAGTAGGATGTGCAGTAGGGCTGGTGGTGATCTCTTCCTTATTCTACATATGGTGGACAAAGGAGCCACAGGGCCATGTCCGGATTTTCACAGATTCACCAAGGAAGGGTTAAGAACCAAAGTTCCTTTCACTTTCAGAATGCTGTAAAAAAATAAATAAAATTCTGAAAAATGTCCTTACATAATTGTCATATTTGTAACAAAACAATGCGTCAACTTGTATGTTTTTGTTGTATATATATAATGCATGGACCCAGTGAGATTTTCTTTTGCTTCCTGTATTTTTCTTAGTGTCAGCACTCGCAATGGTATGCTAGTCCAAATCTGTCATTTTCCATTTTTCTTTTTTTAGGACCGAATTCATTATTGCTTTTTTTATATTAACTTTTCGATATTTGATAATTACATTAAGTTTTAATTAATTTAAAATCAAGTTGCGTTAGATTCAATTAGAAAAAACCTCTCCTGATGCTTTTTTTTTATACACAAAACTTGAATTCAAGATCTTATTTTAAAAAAATTAAATTTTTTTCACTCGGATTATCATATGATTGATTACAACCAAATCCATTATTATTTTCACATAAATTAATCTTAAAAAGATGGTATATCGCAAAGACTTCCGATCAACAGTAAAAAGAAAACATAAAAAAGAAAAATCAAATGGAAGACTTTATAAAGTAGTAGAATAATCAAAGTTTGGGTATAAAAACACTAGTGAGTTCTGCTTTGCTTTTGCTTTTGCTTTTGCATGCTTTTAGAACTTAGTAGTCACTTTCCCTTCACTTTTCTCTTTAGTGCTCCTTCAAAGTAGTCATTCTTTAATAAGCCCATATCTTTCTCTATTTATTGTTGGGTTTTTTTTTTAGAGCACAAGTTTTCTAATAAATATAATTTTTAATTTTTTAAATTCTTATAAAAAATATTAAAATTAATATTGATTTTAATATTAATATCACTTATATAATTTTAATTAATTAAAAATTAATTTTTATTTTTAATATAAATTAATTATTAAAAACATATTAATTATATTTTTAATATA